CAGATGATCTTGAAGGTCCCTTCCAACCCAAACCATTCTATGATTCTATTTGAACCACACGTCCAGTGAGTATGTTTAAGTGCTACACGTACAAGTGAATGAAGATCTACTTTTCCCCTAAAAGAGACAGGAAAGCAGCAGCACACGGCACTATGTCTACTGTATAACGCACGGGACGTCGCAGATGTTAAAGCAGCTCGCTGTTTCTGCGTCTGGAACAAGTAGGTCACACACAGTTATTATACACACTGCTGAACATGAAGCAGCCAATACCCGTGTAATGTATGTGAGCTTTCAAACCACCTTTTAGTACTTTGTAGTAGCACAGAGTCTTGTTTGCAGATGCCCTGGCTGAGAGCAACTGATGGAAGGGGGAAGGGACCCGAAGCTGACTGGCCTAATTGCGGCGTCGATTGAGAAGCTGGCCAAATCATTAGTTTCTTTTATATGTTTTCTTTCTATACTATAATAAAGATAAATATTGATTGCTAGAACAATATTGATTGCGGGGGTCGCTGCAGATGGCAGCTGCATGATTTGCACAAATATCTCCCCTGTACAGCATTGCTGATTTGCATGAGAATGCAGTTTCGCCATCCTCACGTGCCGCGGACCCTTCACTTGCCTCCTAGGAGCAGTTACCCAAACTATACATACATATATTTACATATATACGTATATCTCAATGATTAGCACTGAAATATGAAACAAAGGACTGAAAACAGCTCATCAGCTTTATGTGCTTCGTGTGTGTGTCTGCTGTGGGTCAGCGGAGCTTGTTGTCCCAGCCAAGAAGCTGCAACGTCGGCACCTCGCTGGGGGATCCCACGCAGCTGCGCCGGGCCCCGGCCCCCTCCGCTCCTTCCCATCACCCACTGATCCTGAAGGCGCCGAGCCCCTCCGCTCAGGCCTGGGTGCCTTCCTCCATGCTCCCAGCTGCGGGTTGGCAGGGACACCGCATCCCTGCAGAGCAGCTTCAGCATCTTCTCCTGAGCCGAACCTGCCCGGTGGCATCCTCATCCACTTGTCAGAAATGGAATAAGCCCCTCCAGTGTGGCTGGAGCTCGAGAGGAGGGAGGGAAGCTGCCTACCACAAACCTCTGCGCTCAGCCAAAGAGGAGTCCTCGGGGCGTGCAGGACCAAGGTGCAGAAAGCAGCCGGGGTATTTATGCCCCATTTTATTCCTGGTGCAACCCCCCCGAGCGGCCCGTTTCAAGGCCAGGGACCCCACGGCAGGGATTCTGCTGCCTCGCTCCTCCACCTGCGTGCTCCCGGAGGGATGGGAGGGAAGGCAGAGGAGCCTTCTGCGGAGAAAGCGCTCTCCCGAGCACGCCGTGCGTCTCTGCGTGCCTCCCCCACAGCTAGTGAACTGCGTCGTCTTCTGGGCGCCGCCGCACTTGGAGACGGCTGCTGGCTGACCTGCCGGTATTGAAATTCCAAGGAAAAGCATGCATATTTAACCCCAATTCATCATTTTGATTTTGATTAACTCTGCGAGTCAGGGGTTTGCAGGCTTTAATCTTGCTTTAAGAAAACACTCCTGTCCTTTCTTCTCAGCGTTTTCCAACAGGAAATTCAACAGAAGGGGTTTTCCTCTTCTTTAGCTCCTTCCAATTCCTTGGACACGTCATGGAGCTCTGAAATCGCTGCCCAGCACCTAGCCAACCCATGGCCCGTCCAGCGTAGACAGTGCTCTTCTTTCCTCAGCGGCCCATCAGGAGGAGATTCGTACTGGAATCCAGGTTTCTGACGTGGTTACGCACTGAGCCACTTCAGCAGATGAGCAGGCACTCCATTTGGTGAGGACTATTTATATACAGTGAGCAAGCATTTCATAGATGCTCTTTGGAAGATCTTCGAAATGCACCACAGCTCAGAATGCTGTGCTTCGTTCTTCATTTCCTTTCCAGTATAGCTCTCAGGGGGTTATGTCGAGTAGCCCTGGCTTACAAAATCAATTATTCCTTAGCCAGCTCAGACCTAAAACCCCAAGTAAGCAACACCAAACGTCTGATTTACCAACAGATTGCAATCCGGTGCTAAAGAGCATGGCCACTGCCCTGCTTTAAATATTCATGAAGCCCGCTGGTGCAAAAAATGCATTAGAGGTGGGAATAATGCCAGTAATACACCATGCTCTTAGTGACAAGAAGCTTTCCCATATTAAAGCAGCAAGATGTTAAAGACCTTCCACTGAACAGTCTTTGTTTTTAACCTAGAGAAAAGAGACTCACTAATGGAATGCCAAATTACATTCACTCGCGTGATCTTAGACTGCAGAACAGGATAATAATACATGCGCGCTTTGACATGCCACAGAAAACCTGTTATTACAGTGGGTTCTCTCCTGCCTTCTCTTCATACTTTCCAGAAAATGTTTGCACGCGTATCTTACCCCTTCGAGTAGTCTTTTACGTGACAAGCACTTGATTGGAATCCCAGGAGGCTAGCCATTAACAGGCTGGTTTTAGGCAAATCAGAAGACTTGAAAATAACGGTGACACAGTGCAAGAGCGCAGTTCAGCTGAGTGACAACTGGCAACGAATACCCCCAAAAAAACCAACCAGTTAAACCAGAGACAAGGGACTGCAAAATAACAGACTGTGGCAGTGCAGAATAATGTTAATTGTCGCTTTAAATCGCCAGCAGCCCAACCACAGCTGCTGTCACACCTGTGCTCTCCTCTCCGCTCCGCTCCGGCACCCTAGGAACATCAGGCGAGCCGTAACAGCAGGTCCCGGGGCTGCCGGGACCCGCTGACCCCGCTTGGGGTTTTACGGACCTCATCCAGCGGGTGAGACAGCTAAAGGAGCCCTGCTCACAGCCGAGATTTGACCGGCACAAACCCAGCCGTCAAATAATCAGCCGAAATTCCTTTTCCCACCTAACCTAAGGACGTTTTCCGCACACTGAACCTCGGCAGGGGGAGTGAGGGAATGTGTCTATCCCGGTGCCAAACACGGAAATTCAATTAACGAACATTTGAAAGAGGGATCTAGGTCCCCCCCCCCATACACGGTCCGCTTTTATTCTAGAAATAAGAATAACAAAGAGCTAACAGCCAGCAGGCTCATTTTTCAGAAAGGCGTTTATCCACGACTAATCAGGGGGCAGGGACGGGAAAACCGGGCTCTGTTACGGCACATGAGGTCGTTCACTTCAAAGCAGACCTTTAACTGGCTTTACACGGTCTTGGTGCTTCTGGTTGGAAATCTGCTTTTCCTGCCTTCCACCAGTTTGGCTGGCGGCATCTTCCCAGCGAACGCCCTTCGCCGCTTCCCTGCCCCTGCAGAAAGACCGCCCGTCAATAACGACCGAGAACGCCAGCCCCGGCGGCCGTAACGCCGCTCCCTGTAAGCCGGGTTGTTCCCAAGGGGAGGAATCAGACAGCGCAAAGGCTGCAGCGGGAACGGTGCCGGGGTGAGTTGGACCAGGCTGTTTTACCAAGCTATTTCCGGAAAAAAATAAACACTGCTCCTCAGTGCTTATGATTAATAACGTTATCTTGTAGCTAATTTTATTCCTCGCCCCTCTCTTCTCCTGCCTTCCAATTTCGAAGTGCACTTAATTATGAAAACATGAGCACTCGACTGTGAACTTTGATATATTAATTTTACCATGGTTGTGTTTCTGCGCTGCACCATCAAAACTCTCAAGGACAACCGGTCAAAGGGACAATGAAAATCCTGACACCTGGCCTAATTTTCTTCAGCAAAATCAAAACTGGGCAATTTCTTCCATGCAAATCTTGTGACGCTACTGCAAACCTACAACCACGATGCATCTTGCTCCTGTTCTCCAAGGCCACAATTTCTTTTGCTGACTGGAGCAAGAGCAAGGCCCCTGCGGTTTGTTTGTTTGGTGCTTTTTAAAGACTAGAACCGGAGGTTATTCAAAGCCTGGCACGACCAAACCAAAACGAGCACAAATGGATGACCATGACCATGTTGCTAAGCTTCTTCCTTGAAGAGAGGACATGCTCCCAATTCCATGCCTGGCCCACAGGGCATGGATGCCTTGCCTGGGTCCAGTTATCACAGTCACCACCCACTGACTCCGCTCCGTTCCTACCGTCCATGTTAGAGTTCGGGCAGCACAGCTTTATCGTCACCTCACTGCCCAGTCCCTGTACCCATCCTTCAGCTCCCACCAGCCCACAGCTTCGGAAGCATCATCCAGACAACAGCACTAACATTCGCAGGATTATTTTGTTCTCCTTCTAAATTTGTGTTAATTACTTTGATAGGAATCTGAGGCTTAGCATCAAGGCAGTGTTAGAAGGACAGCTCTGTGAACAGCAGCTTTTGTGATCTCTTGGCTGTTCCAAGATCGCAATGAAATGATTAGTTTAAAGTTGCCTTAACAGGCGTTTGCATAGTTTTTAGGTAAAATGAAAAAAAGGAATATTCTCTGATGACATAGAATTATTTTCCTTCAGCTTATGTGGTTAAGGCTTAAAGTAACAAAAAAACCCCACGTACTTTTCAAATCGCTTTTAAAAAATAAAAAAATTTCCATTGAGAAAATGTCTAAATATACACTCTAATTATTTGAAACATTTGAGGGTTAGGTCTTCATCTCCAGCAACCAGCAAAAAGCGAGACAGATTTCTTAGTGTTTCTAATGCCACACATGAATTAACATGATGATAATACTAATGGTACTTTTTAACCGGAAAAGCTTTAGGTCAATTATTGTTCCCAATTCTATTTTTACCGAAGGATAAAGCTGCAAAACCCCAGATGGAGTAACATAAGTTATAACAGCAACAAAATGGATAACTGTGTTTCTAGCCTTTGTCTCGATTGTGCATGTTCCAAAATTATAAACCAGGCTGTTTTATACATTTTTTTCAGAGTAATAACCACCTCAGCCACTGTGCGATAAATCTCCGCGTGCAGAAAATTGAGTATCTAACATTTGTAATGCCTTCTACACCACAGTACCTTTCAATAATACAACATTCATGAAAATAGAAGAGTAGACCAAATTACTGTACCAAACGTCCTCTGCATCTTCGTCACACTCTGCCCCGAACTGGCAAATGTCACAGGTCGACGTCTCTTTTTGATTGGTTTCACCTGAGCCTTCACTGACTGTTGGATGGAAAGCAGAAGAACACACGTTAGTAAAGACAGCGGCATAGCAGAGCACTTCTCTCTCTCACAGAATCACAGAATGGTACGGGTTGGAAGGGACCTCTGTGGGTCATCTAGTCCAACTCTCCTGCCGAAGCAGGGTCACCTACAGCAGGCTGTAGAGGGCCTTGTCCAGGTGGGTCTTGAATATCTCCAGAGAAGGAGACTCCACAACCTCCCTGGGCAGCCTGGGCCAGGGCTCTGTCACCCACAGAGGGAAGAAGTTCTTCCTCATGTTCAGCTGGAACTTCCTCTGCTTCAGTTTGTGCCCATTGCCCCTTGTCCTGTCGCTGGGCCCCACTGGAAAGAGTCTGGCCCCATCCTCCTGACACCCACCCTGCAGATATTTAGAGGCATTTCTAAGGTCCCCTCTCAGTCTTCTCTTCTCCAGGCTGAACAAGCCCAGCTCCCTCAGCCTCTCCTCGTAGCAGAGATGTTCCAGTCCCCTCACCATCCTTGTAGCCCTCCGCTGGACTCTCTCCAGTAGCTCCTCATCTTTCTTGAACTGGGGAGCCCAGAGCTGGACAGAGTACTCCAGATGGGGCCTCACTAGGGCAGTGTAGAGGGGAAGGAGAAACTCTCTAGACAACTCTCTCCACCGCGCCAGCTCCGCGCGCTGCTCCCCAGGCCAACACCCGGCCAACAGACCGCGCTTCTGAACGGGGCCAACACAGAGATCTCCACGTCGGTCTGCGATAAATTCCCCCCATTACGGAGTGAACAGGGAAACTGGAGAAAGGCTCTGCCTCCTCCTTTCCCGCTCAAACAACGAGCCCTGCAAGCTGCAGCCCGAGGACGCTGGGTCACCACCGAGCTTTGTTCCCCGGGAAAATACCGGAGGCGTATCGAGAGCATCCCGCATCCTTTACCGGTGAAGGCCTCGAGATGGACCCAAGGGGATGCTTTCCTCGAAAATGTTTTGAAATTACCTTCCAACGTGGTGCAATCTAGACCACTCCACAGGCACAACATTTTTCTCTTCAGAAGCACAGCTATGAGCCCCAAGGACTAGTTATCTCTGGCAGGAACGATTTAGCACTGTCCAGAGGAGGGGATGATCTCCAGCATAGGTTAAATTTGAAACCCAGGGAAGTCAACGCCCATGTCTGCAATCGTGTAAGGTTTGTACCTGGCCCCCAAGTCAAAACCATGAGGGCACTAAGGGGAAAATAAAAATACGTGTTTAAGGAGACTGCAAAAAAATATTGATGGCTGAGTACTGAAAGAAAGAGACCTCTACAGGCAGGCACCAAGGAGAGGGTTTGTTACAAGATCCAAAAGAAACTTTATCAACTCCTGTATTGAAGTATATAAGCACCTTTTGATATCTTTCAAAAGGTGCTGCTTTCTAGCAGGACACTGTGCTTGGTGACATCCTTCTGCCAGTTACAGAATCATTCAACCAACCCAAAGTATCAACCGGCTTTGACTGATGCCGTTGTCCACGTAAACAGTGCCGTCCTTCCATGCCTCTCCCCATTCGGAGTCCACGCCGCGGCCCAGGCTTGCCGCATGGTTGTCCCCAACCTGCCAAAGCTGGTGGACAGGGCGTGGTGCGCCGGGAGCTCCAAGGACACCGACGACGGGACAAATCACCTGCCTGATGTTCTACATCCACTGCCTGACAGCGTTAACCGGGGCGCTACCAGAGACTGGCACTAAAAAAATAGTTAGCAAAAATAATCTACTTTCTGGATTCCTCTTCTGAAAATAAAAGGAGTGCGATTCTCTTTTTCTCACACACGCTATGTAGTTCTCATATTAGCAACTGCCGAGGTTTAACACCAAGACCCTGTAGGAACATAGCAGGGCTCCAGGGAGGCTAATCGCCAAAGCCCACCGCTTCTTACTCACACAACGGAGAAACGTTAAGCTGCAAGTTCCTATTTGTATTAGCAAGATTAACAGCTTCCAGAGTTCAAGGAAATGTGCTAACATGGGTTAGAAGGTCACTAATATTATCTGAAAGTCACCTCAGAGACTACCTCAATCTCCTAAGCAATATAAATTCCTTAGCTGGGAAGGCACTACACACAATTTACAGAGTCAATGGACTGCGGTAACCACAACAGCTCCTCTTTTCATCATTCGGTCTTTTTCTGGCGTTCTCACTGCGCTCAGATCAGGTAGTTGTGATCCCAGGAATATGTGTGTTGCTTGCGAGACCCACAAGAAAAGAACCCATTTTTGAGATGCTTTACTTTGTTTCCATAGCTGAAAAATTAGACTGAAAGTGTCATCAGTAGATCGGTCTGACTCTGCACTTATCTCCTATAGCATCAGGAGAAAACTAAAAGCCCCAAACTGTCCCCCCACCACAGACTCCTCTGCTTTCTCTTTACATTTTAATCTCTTTGAGTCAAGAGTCTTCTGTAGGTGCTACAGCCCCAACAAATCATGCTATGATTTTACCCACACGGCTTCCCAGACTCCTACTCTACTAGGACTTGATGACTGTTAGTTTAGCTGTTTTAACAAACGGGCATCAGTATCTCTGTGCTCGAGCTTCTGGGTAGCCGTTCCTCAGTCTGTTCCCAAGGTGTTCCACAAGTCTCAAAGGCAGGCTGGAAAGAAACTCTTTGCAATATCAAGAAAAGCAGCTCCAATGGGATGGTTGGGAATAGGCACAGCAGCTCGCAGTCTTGATCTCATACACAAAGCGTCAGCTCTTTCCTAAGTGACACAAGGGACATGCCACAACTTGCCTGTCAGACCATACCGCGAGGAGTAAATGGCAGTGGAAAGAGTAGCTGGTGAGCCATGGAGGGACACACTTAGGTAGCAACACCAGCTAAGCACAAATCTCTCAATCTCTCTTTGCTAACACGCCTCAGAACGCAATGGGGCAAACTCAAGAGAGCTGCAGTTCGGTTTTCATGTGGCTTTGTAGGATTGCTGACACAATTCTAATAATCGTTACTCAATATGTTTTAACTATGCTGGAGAACACAACAAAGAAACAGGATAGACCATCATCACCACACACTTGGCTATACAGAACTACGACTACAATGAATTGCTGTGATTGTTTTTCGTATTATGATGTCTTCCTCTGACTGATGTGGTCGGACGCGTGCTCATTGCAACCCCTGATTTGGGCTTGACTCCTCATGGTGGGTCATCTTTGCACTTGTTGAAAGAAGAACTTGAAACAAAGCTTGCTGTAGCTCATCCTAAGAGGACATCTGCTTGTTTTTAGCTATAGAATCTAGGCAATAACAAAAATCACTTGGAGATGAAGGTTCATGGCCATTTTTGTATTTTGGAATGAAAGACAATGTGCAAATTAGAATGTGAAGGAGGAGGAGGAGGAGAATAATGATCTTCAGAGCAGCTGAGGTGATTTCACCACATGCTTCAGACCTAACAGGAGTGCTGTGGGCAGGTGACAAGACGAGTGGACGAAGTGAGAAAGCTCGGAGAAACCAGGGCAGAGAAGCCAACAGAATTTACTAAACGTGCCAGAACAAACACTACTTGCACCTCTACCAAATGGCTAAACCCACCTCCCAAACTTGGCCAATAAAAGCCCAGCTGCTGCCGGCAACTTCACTCGCATCAATAAGCCTTTTTTCCTGAAAGCATTAGCTCAGTCAAAACCTGCAAAGTGAGAAAGATGAAGGGTGCAAAGCAGGCGGTCGACTCACGAATGACTCTGCTCTCCAAGCCTGGCAGAGGCTCAGAACGGCATTACGGTCAAAATGAGAAGAAAATGGCCTACCGTACCGGTAATAAATCCAAACCCTGACACGCCTTGCTTCGCTTTACTCCTGCTGGCTGGCTCCATCTCAATAAATACAAATTTGCTCTCTCTCAGACACACAAACATGCTGGGGAAATTACTCCTCGCACGAGAAAACAGTGTCTCTGCTCAGCTCAGGACCAGACCGAGACCTTCTGAAGGAGACCTGACGTATTCTCCTTCGCGCCAACGGGCCTTCGATCGGTTTCTCCTTCAAACCACCTCTCGGCAACCGATGGGCAGGTTATTTAAACAGGGTGCCAGGGCTGTGCCGTGCCTGAGCTGGCTGCCCAGGAAACCAGACCCATCCTTCCCAGCACCTGTAGTGCTTCAGGATCCCATCTTGGGCACGTCCATGTTGCTGTTCTCAGTCTGGAAAAGGTTAACAGGACGACTTCATCGTGATGCAAATACCTAACAGGGTATTTTTCGGGGAGGAACGAGATGTATCCAGCCAGCTGAGATTGCTGATAAAACGTGCTCTTATCTTCTCGCTAAAGACCATGTAGATACAGCTTGGCACTGCTTTGATGTCAGTCAGACTCAATTTGCAGTGCTTTCCAGCTCTCATACTTCTACTGTGACTCGCAGGTTGTATTTTTTCTTAAAATCACAGCCAGTGGATTGTCTCTATGTAAAAGGATCTCAGTTTCTATGCATATTTATTTGGAAAGGTGTGCTTAAGCTTTAGGGCTGCAGAGAAAAAGCTTGCGAGTATAATAAATACCAGAAACCATCAAGTTGATAATTTTTTAAAAATAGCTATTTTTGTAGGGCTGATTCACGACTCTTCAGCCCTGTGCAACACTGAGTTAATGTTGGGCAGGACAGCAGAGCTTCCGAACAGCTCGCTCTCGTGCCAAGGCGCCGTGCTTGCGCTGCAGGCTCCGATTCTGCCCTGGATCCAGTCTAACCAGCGCAAGGAAGCAGCGCCCAAGAAGTGCCCTGAGTTCAGTAAATAACTAGGACAAAAATTGTTTCACGTTATTACTGAGCACTGCTGCTCTCTCTAGCTCCGCCTTTATTTTTGCCCTCCCGTCTCGCTTCCTGTCGTGCCTTTCTTCCCATTCTCCTTTGGTTTCTCTCCATTCCCCACCGCCCCCAATTCTCCAGCTGCAATTAACTTCGAATCATAGAATGGTTTGGGTTGGAAGGGACCTTATAGATCATCTGGTTCCTACCACCCTGCCATGAGCAGGGTCGCCTCACCACCATC